GTCCCAGTTGCATGACCCGGGATTAAAGGTCCTGACCTTTAGTCTCGGATCCGCAATCCCTATTGGGAAACCGAGACTAAAACTAGTTCCCAACCGGGATTAAAGCTCACCTGTGTACTAGTGAAGTATCGTCACTATTAGAATGCGAATAACCTAGAATGTCATAAGTCTAGAATGAAGAGTCCTGTCATATGAAGAGTCATGTAATCCATATGAAGAGTCAATTAATCGCTTATATAAACTGCTGATCATCCATTCTTTTTCTCGAATACGCAAAAGATTTGCGCATAATTGTAACTAAAAAGAAGAGTTTAATCATACAAATGACGCGCTTCTAACGAGCGCCCTCGGAGGTCTTACAGCCGTAGGCTAGACTATGCTAGCATATGACTCCAAGCTTCGATATTACATAAAACGTCTATAACTGAGCAAGAGCAGCGCTGCAACCTACGAAGCTAGGTGCCTCCGCTACTGGCTACACGATCCTACTCTAGCATCTGAGAAGAGCTTTCTACCTGCCTTGGTGTTGGTTGCTGGGAATAACTCGTACAGATCTTCAACTTGGCTCGACGTCAAGTTCCCTGCAAAAATGGTGTGGTAGGCTCCATTGGATGCGGAAGAAACTGGTGCCAGCAGCGGCACGATGCCCATCCTCTTCATGAGTAGTACCTCGCCCCGCTTGGAGGTCGGTACGTGTGACAATGGCTGAGCGGCAATCCGCCTGTTCCTGATGAGGGGGCGCTTTGTTACCGCCTTCTGTCTTGGAGGACTGGCGATCAATGGCGACTTTCTCTTGCACTGCACCTCCTCGATGAACCTTGCGAGATGCCGAGCAGCCCCACGTGGCCTAGGCGTTGTGTCGCTAGGGGTGCGCGTGGCCACCGTGATCTCATCTTTGACGTCGACTTGTCCCACCCGAGGCGGTGTGAGTTGTGGCAGCTCCTGCACCAGCGACTGAGGCGAGTACGGGTATCCATCAATGATTCCTCAATCCCGAGAGAGGCAGCCTCCAGAGTAGGCTGGCTCTCTCACTGGTCGGCTCATGACAAGCGAGGCGGCAAGTTCCTCTAGCATCGGGTCGACCGAGATGACCCATGCGGGAGGCCTCGCCAAAGCCAGTGGATCTGGCTTGGGGAAGTAGAGTGTAGCAGCAGTAGCTATGTTGTCGGCGTGGTCAGCAGGTGCACCCGTGTCGATGTTCTTCTTCGGCTTAGTCCGGCGCCGCCGGCGTCATCGTCTGCCGAACGGCTCCCCCCTCGCCCTACGCCCCCCTATGTGGCACCCTCTGCACTGACGTGCGGCGCGTGCTGGGAGGCTGAGGGGTCGTCATGAGCGGAGTGCCGTGGTAGGTTGGCACCGTTCGAAGCAGGCCTAGGTCACCGGCAGTCCTTGGCGAGGTGTCGGAAGCTACGACAGCGCAGACATGCCGTGGCAACTGGCAAGTCACTACTCGGTGCGAGTAGGAGAGACAGTTGAAACGTCTGTCGCAAAACTCTGCGCGGATCCTCTGGGCCTTCGGGAGCTGCTTTGGATGAGGCTCAACCGAGGCGGCCGTCGGATGCGTCTCCTGCCGGGGGTGGATGTCCCGCCACCCATCGACGGTCGAGGCGGAGACCCTTCATTGATCAACAGTTTATATAAGGGATTACATGACTCTTCATACGATGGGACTCTTCATTCTAACTTATGACATCTAGGCTATTCGCATTCTAATAGTCACATTAATTATGGAATATATTTTTTAGAATAAACCTATTTAAAGATACAAACGTTGATATTATTTTCTATAAACCTAGTAAAACTCACATTGTCTTTAGTAATACATTTGTGCTTTGTGTTTCTGTTAGACGTGAATCACCTTAATCTTGCTCAAATCTGGCATTGTCTTTTGTTCGTTGGCATACAGGATCAAAAGGGAAAAAAGGGATTATTATTACTGGTAAGCACTACACAGCCTTGATGTAGTCTAAAAGAGCAGCGTGGCTGTTTTCGTCGGCACCTTTGTTCTGTTAGTAATTTAGTTCTCTAAGTTCTTTTGCCGGCGGCGTTGTTTGCTTTTTTTTTCCAGTCTATATTTTTTTCTTTAGTGTTTTGGTAAGCTCAGGTTTATCAGCCTTTACTGTAATTGCTTCTCTCTTAATGAAATACGTGCTCACGAGGTCGTGAAAAACTGTAGTCTAAAAGAGCATAAGAAAAGCATATAATGAATTATTGACATGTCATGTTTGAAAATCCATAGTTCTCAAAAATTAATTCCGAATCCACTAAACAAAGACAGCAACATACATAAATTTCATCCTCCCTTTGGGCAAATAATCTGATGAGTTTCCTCACTGACTAGTGTTGCATTAGTTCTTTGCAAATTGAATTTTTAGATTGCTTTGCAGTTGAATTGACTGGTGATGTTTTTGTGGTGCAGATATTGTTGCAGGCACCTCGTCCCTTCTATTCCTGTGTCTAGTTATGCTCACATTTTTCTTGGCTTGTAAATATGATTGGCTGCCCCACAAATCGAAGGACGAACCAAGGATTGAATCATTTCTACAAAAGAACGGGAACCTACATCCGAAAAGATACACTTATGTAGATGTTAAAAGAATGACGAAATCCTTTGCTGTGAAGCTAGGCCAAGGTGGATTTGGTGCTGTATACAGAGGCAACCTCCATGATGGCCGCCAGGTAGCGGTTAAGATGCTAAAGGACACCAAAGGTGATGGTGAGGAATTTATGAACGAGGTGGCTAGTATTAGCAGAACTTCTCATGTCAATGTTGTGACACTTTTAGGATTTTGCTTGCAAGGATCTAAAAGGCCACTTATTTACGAGTACATGCTTAATGGTTCGCTTGAAAGGTATGCCTTCAACGGCAACATGAATAGCAGAAATTTACTAAGTTGGGAGAAATTATTTGACATATCAATTGGCACGGCCAGAGGAGTTGAATATCTCCACCGGGGATGCAACACTCGGATCGTGCATTTTGACATCAAACCACATAACATCCTATTATATCAGGATTTCTGTCCTAAGATCTCTAACTTTGGATTGGCCAAGCTATGCCTTAATAAAGAGAGTGCTATCTCCATTGTTGGTGCAAGAGGGACAATAGGTTATATTGCCCCAGACGTTTACTCAAAGCAATTTGGAATAGTAAGTAGCAAGTCAGATGTCTATAGTTATGGAATGATGGTCCTTGAGATGGTTGGAGCAAGGGTCAAGAATACAAGTGCAAATAGTGAATCTAGTAGCCAATATTTCCCACAGTGGATTTATGAACATTTGGACGACTACTGTATAAGTGCTTCTTAGATTAATGGCGAGACCACAGAACTCGTGAGAAAGATGATAGTTGTAGGTTTGTGGTGCGTACAAGTGATTCCAACTGATAGTCGTCGAGATGCTGGAAAGGAGCACAAGTAATCTGGAATTGCCACCCAAAGTTCTCTTGAGCAGTCAAGCATAGATATTTTCCTACTAATAAATGTTGCTAGTGTTACCAGGTTGTACAAATGCAAATATTTGTTATATAGTATGCAGAACTACATAGGAATTTCTGGAGAGGGGTGCTCGTAGTCTCATACGACACAGTATGATGGTATTAGAGTACTTTGTTCATACTTCAGACTAGCTGCAAGAACTGATTCTCTTCTGTGTACATGTACACTAAGATCACTGGACAGATGCATTACAAATTCAGTAGGTGGTCCGGGTTTAAAATTTAAATCGCGATGGAATACATTACACAAATTAAAATAGCGACTAAACTCTTCATTACAATTCAGATCAGAATCGCGACGCCCAATTCCTGAAAATACTTGAACTGAGGACTAGAGATGATCAGTAGGCATTAAGAGTCGGAGCTTATCGAAGTCAGAGTGCTCAACCGATGTGGTCATAGCTGACATTTCAGCTGTCCGCACTCATAAGTGACCGTCGGCCATAGCGGGTAGCTTCTCATGTTTGCCTCCACTCCGCTTCCCGGCCGCCCGGGTAGCTTCCCAACAGATGACCGCGTTCCGTGTCTCCAGAGCCAACTAATTTCCACAGGCACAAAAGTCCGAACTTCGAAGGAAGCGATCGACCCAGACCTCCACTGTGTGACAAAAGTCCCTCCACTGGACGTGGAAATTTTTCTATCACGACTGACTTCGCAAGTCCTGTAAAGATTGACAATGATTAACGGGGACTCTTGTGGTGACGAGTTACCGTGTTAGAACATTTTGCAGGACAGCGCGTATCTTGACTTCCTACTAGAGTTCAATCCATTTTCGACGGAGCTTTCTGTCACCGCGAACGTTAACCCAGCAGATACGTTTATGAACCAAGACGATTTGCCTGCACTACAAGACCAAGTGCTGAGTGGACCAGTCTACGGAGTACTATTCCTATTCTACGTTCAAACCAAACCTCTTCATGGGTAGCTCTGGTACGGTTGTGCTGACCAAACTTCTTCTGAGCACTTACAACGTCTCCATGTGCTCGGAATCGTTCTGGTGCGGCAGCGTTGAAATCCACTACCCGTTCTACCTTGCCAACGCAACCGAAACAATCGCCGATTACAGCGGGAACATCTTTTCTTGCGGCTAAACCGACTTGAGCATTTCCTGCAAACTCGAGGGGCAGACCTGGATCCCTACCATCCGTCTCGACGGCGACGACTACACCGTCGAGAACATATCCTACCACTACGACCATCAGACCATCCTACTGGTGGACAGCGATGTGCTCGGAGGCGCAGGCGGCGACTGCCCTGCTGTCCGCCAGGAAGTCAGCTTCGACGGACATGGCTGCATAGCAGCAGCTACAACGACAACCTCACCTTCCTCTTCGGCTGCGACCGACGCGGTCCAGTGCCGCCTGAATTCGACGCATACAAAATCAACTGCACGCAGTTCAAGAGTCCGCCAGGTGCTGGCCCTGGAGACTCCTTCGTGGTCATTATGATTGATGAGCATGACAGGTATCTGGAGCAAGAATTGGCTACGAAGTGCGGCAACACCATGGTTGTCACCGTGCCAGTGAGAGGCGATGTTCTGATGGCCGCAAGTTATAACAAGAGCAACTTCACAAGCGGCGGATACGGAGACGTGCTTAAGCGTGGGTTCGAGTTGGAATGGAGCTGTATCACAGAGGATGGGTGTCACCTGTGCGAGGCGTCGAACGGGCAATGCGCCTATAGCCAGCACAGGGAATTCCTGGGCTGCTTGTGCGACGGAGGGAAGGCGGGCAGCCCTGACTGCAAACGATCAAGTAAGTAGTCCTTCTGAACCGACCCTTTTGTTTTGGGGAATTCCTTGTGTGCCATTAAAAAAGATCGCAATACCCTATGTGCCTCTGAAAAAGTTCAGCGGTCTTTTGTGATTCCTTCGGAGGTGCCCCACCAAACTACTAGGTCAAGCTTTCATCATTTCGCCAATCAAGTGACTTGGCACTGAGAACATCCGTTGAACTGGCATGCCATTGTTTGGATTAGAGGAATTTCATAGGAATTTCAAAGAAATCCAATTCCTATGTTTTGCTTACGTCACATGGTGTTTGGAATGGAGGAATGAAGTTTTCTTTTCCTTGCTTTCCTTCATGAAATGGAGGAAATAAAACTTCAAATCTAAGCTCTTGGAAATTTTTCCTACATGTGAATGGAGAGATGAGCAAGCCCTTGTTCACTAGAATGGAGGAATAAACATGTTCTTGTATTCCTTATGTTCCAAACGCCCATTCCTATAAAATTCCTGTGTTTTTCCAATCCTCTTTTTTCTACCTACACTCATTTTCTATTCCTGTGTTTTCTTCGTTTCCTGTGTTTTTCATTCCTCCATTCCAACGAAGCCCTATAGAATAGATTTCCACCACTTGCAAGGAACCTCAATTATGAAGGAAATTGTTCTCAATGAGCATATAGCCGATTCCAAGGTAAAATTAAGTAAAACTTGTGGGCCCACCTGTCTCATTAAGTACTCCCTCTTTCTAAAAAGAAGAAAAATGTCGCTTGCCCATGAGTCAAACAAATTCAAATTTGACAAAATATATATGGTCTGCTCAGTTGTGGCGGCTGTTGCTATTTATTTTCTACTACAAACAACAGTAGGTGTAGGTAAGGTTGCTGCAATAGCAGTCGCAGCACTGTTACATCAAGCTGTTCCGATCATGCTGATATAAAAAAAACTATTTATGATGCGTGATAAGAGTGTATTTGGGAGGGTTCCTCCCGGCGGAGCCATTTTAGATGAATCATAATTTATGGCTCCTTCAAAACAGCTCGAGCTCCTTTTTTTTCACTGAAAAATAGCTCCAAACTATTCCTGCTAAACTGTTTGGTAGGACTCCTCCGGATGAGCCAGAGCCGGAGCCCTTACCAAACGGAGCCTAATAATTATCACTAGATTAATCCTAGAATATATTTTTTATATAAGCCTACTATTTGAAGATACAAACATTGATATTCTTTTCTATTAATCTAGTCAAACTGAAATTATCTTTTGTAATACATTTGTGCTTTGTGTTTCTGTTTGACGTGAATTAGTTTAATCTTGCTCAAATCTGACATTGCGTTTTGTTTGTTGGCATACAGGATCAAAACGGAAAACAGCAATTATTGCTGGTAAGCACTACGCAGCCTATAGCCAGTACCCATCTTCATTTAGTCTAAAAGAGCAGAAGAAAAGCACATAATGAATTATTGGCATGACATGTTTTAGAATCCATAATTCTCAAAAAAAAAGTATCTGGAATCCACTAACCAATGACAGGAATATAGATAAATTGCATCCTCCTTTTGGGCAATAATCTGATGAGTTTCCACACTGACTAACGGTGCATTTTTTCTTTGCAAATTGAATTTTTAGAATGCCTTGCAGTTGAATTCATTTGTGATGCAGGTATTGTTGCAGGCATGTTGTCACTTCTATTCCTGTGTCTAGTTATTCTCAAATTCTTCTCTGCTTCTAAAGATGGTTTGCTGCCCTTCAAATCAAAGGACGAACCAAGGGTTGAATCATTTCTACAAAAGAACGGGAACCTACATCCGAAAAGATACACTTATGCAGATGTTAAAAGAATGACGAAATCCTTTGCTATGAAGCTAGGCCAAGGTGGATTTGGTGCTGTATACAGAGGCAACCTCCATGATGGCCGCCAGGTAGCGGTTAAGATGCTGAAGGACACCAAAGGTGATGGTGAGGAATTTATGAACGAGGTGGCTAGTATTAGCAGAACTTCTCATGTCAATGTTGTGACACTTTTAGAATTTTGCTTGCAAGGATCCAAAAGGGCACTTATTTACGAGTACATGCCTAATGGTTCGCTTGAAAGGTATGCCTTCAATAGCAACATGAATAGTGGAAATTCACTAAGTTGGGATAAATTATTTGACATAGCAATTGGCACGGCCAGAGGAGTTGAATATCTCCACCGGGGATGCAACACTCGGATCGTGCATTTTGACATCAAACCACATAACATCCTATTAGATCAGGATTTCTGTCCTAAGATCTCTGACTTTGGATTGGCCAAGCTATGCCTGAATAAAGAGAGTGCTATCTCCATTGCTGGTGCAAGAGGGACAATAGGTTATATTGCCCCAGAGGTTTACTCAAAGCAATTCGGAATAATAAGTAGCAAGTCTGATGTGTATAGTTATGGAATGATGGTCCTTGAGATGGTTGGGGCAAGGGACAGGAATACAAGTGGAAATAGTGAATCTAGTAGTCAATATTTCCCTCAGTGGATTTATGAACATTTGGATGACTACTGTATCAGTGCTTCTGAGATTAATGGTGAGATGACAGAGCTCGTGAGAAAGATGATAGTGGTTGGTTTGTGGTGCATACAAGTGATTCCGACTGATCGGCCAACAATGACTAGAGTCGTCGAGATGCTGGAAGGAAGCACAAGTAATCTGGAATTGCCACCCAAAGTTCTCTTGAGCTGACGAGCGTAGATATTTTCCTACTGATAAATATTGCTAGCGTTACCAGGTTGCACATATGCAAATGTTTGTTATATAATATGCAGAACTAAGGCATGCATCAAATGCTATTTCTGTTCTGTAAACATAGATGTAATAGTAACTACATAAGAATTTCTGGACACGGATGCTCGTAGCTCATACGACACTGTATGATGGTGTTAGAGTACTTTGTTCAGACTTGAGACTCGCTGCAAGCACTGATTCTCTTCTGTGTACTTGTACACTAAGCACGTGCCTGCGGTGGGATTTGCTGACTGACGCGCCATAGTGGTGAGGATGGGACAGAGGACAGGAGGAATCTGCGTCGTTTGAAGCGTGTATCATAGCGTGGATTGTAATGCATAGACAAATTAAGGCCCTATTTAGATTCCATGCCAAAACTTTAGCACTGTATTTTTTGTCCTTTTCTTTGCCAGGGGATCCAAACTCGGGGGCTAAAAGTGAGCAAATGGCTAAAAACTAGGTTAAAATCTTTTGCTCCCAAAATGGCCCTAAACTAGGCTAAAAGTGACTAAACTGCACAGTGGACAGGTGCTGCCCCTTAATAATTGCTCCGACCCTGCCTCGTTTCCCACTTTCCCCATTCTCTCTCTCCCTCTCGCTCGCATCTGCCGTCCCTACCGCCGCGCTTCCTACGCCGCTGACACCGCCACCGCCACCGCCCCTGCGGCCATGGAGGAAGGGAAGAGGAGGGGAAGAAGGGAGACGGGCGCTACCCCTACGGCGGCTCCACGCAGGCGCGAGCGGTGCCCTGCCCTGGCTGAAACCAACAAGCGAACAAGTTGTACGTGCCATGAAGGAGATGTAAGGACGACAAGCCATGCCAAGGCACAATCAGCTGCCCACTGTTCGTTTGCGGCTCAGTCATGTCAAAATTTCCACATCCAAGTCGAAGAACCGCGAACGTGCTTGTAGGGCGGTGGCAACGTCTCCGGTTGTGGAGCGTGCCCACCCATGTTCGATTCCCAGTTGGGACGAACGGGTGTCACATGGGGTATTTCCCCGTATTTGTTTCGTGCAGGTCCTGGACACTCGCGTGGCGCTACAGTGGGACTACGATGTGCCCGTCGTCTATGAGGCTTGTGTGGCTTCGGTGATCTCCAGAAGGACGTTTGAGGTGTATAGGTTGTACCTTCTAGAGGTGTGCGTGTGTGGTGGTGTGAGTGTGTTGTATAGAGTACATATACTATAACTTGTACACTAGGAGTCCAGGCTAAATAAAAGTCGAAGAACCGGTCGGTGTCAGCCTAACTTCCATCACTTGTCTCTCCCTCCCTGCAGCTCTGCTCCTTCTCCTACTCCCCGTCCAGCTCCTCCTCGCAGTAGCGGATGCCATTCCTGATTCCTGCAGCAAAGCCATATGCGCCGGCCACGACGCCCACTACCCATCCTGGCTCAACAACTCCTCTGCGCCCGTCGACTGCTACTACGCCGGGATCGGCCTTGTCTACGAGGGCAACTCAACGCTGATCCTCCCTGTCATGTCCCACAGATATGTAGTATTCAGCATCGACTACAAGACGCATACCATCCTGGTCAGATCCTCCCAGCGTCCCACACCTCCATATCAAATTGTCAATCACACTACGCCAGATTTGCACATCACTGCCGGCCTCATCACTGCCGGATTTGTGAGAACCGGCAGTGATGTACCTTCACTATCGGTTATGAGCTTAAAAATGAAAAAATGATTGGGGCTGGGCTAAAACCGGCAGTGAAGGACCATATCACTACCGGTTTGTAGCTTGAACCGGCAGTGTTTTGGCGGGCACTCATCACTGCCGGTTTAAGCCAAGAGCCGACAGTGATTGGGCACTATCACTGTTGGTTCTAGCCATGAACCGACGGTGATAAGCCTACAACACAAAAAGGCTGCAGCCGTCCTCTCCTTCCGCCTCTCTTCCATCCCGAGAACAGAGGCACGCGTTTGGACCCTTCCCTCCATTGTTGCGGCTACTCTTCACCATGAAGGTAGTGCTTGGATTTTGAAGAATGGCTTGATCTTTTTGCTTTAAGGTTAGTAACAAACATCCACTCCTTTGATTTTGTTGCTTAATTAGCTTCGTTTTGATGGCTACATTGCTTGATTCTCATTCTAGTTCTTTCTCCATTCTAGAGAGCACTTTTTCAATTGGACATTTGTGCAAGGCTCAAATTGTGGTGAATCCATCATCCGAAAGGTTGGTGTCTATGAACATATTTAAATTCCTAGCTAATTATTCCATGGTGGTCAAGATCATCATTGTTAGTATGTGATGCTATAATTAGTTCTTAGAAGTAGAGTAGAATAGTTGTTCTTCAATATTGTGCAATAATTGTTTTTTACTATGATTTTCAATTTACAGGGCCGGGGCTACCAATTTTAATTTTTTAATAATTAGTGTACAATAATGTTTTTCAAAAATGGTACTTTCGAGCTACAATTGTTGTTCATGAAGTTCGATTTCTTATTAATTCTTTGTAATTATTGTCTCAGTATTTTTTTGTGCAGAGATGGATCGAGAGTGGATGCATCTATCCCGAACGGACAAGCGGTATATGCATGGCGTCAGCCAGTTTATCACCGATGTCGAAGCCCATGCTGGGAATGGGAACCCTGTCTTCTGCCCATGCAAAGATTGCAAGAATCATAGGAACTTTCGTCAAATTGAGTCTATATGATCGCACTTGATTACCAGGGGGTTCATGCCAAACTATACGATATGGACTATGCATGGCAAGGTTGGTGTGAATGTTCTGCAGGAAAATGATGATGATGTGGACATGCCTGACGTAGCCATCCACGATGCTGACGAGGAAACTGATCTCAACACGGAACCTATGGCCATAGTTAATAATGTGTTTAGGAACACGTTAGCTGACGACACCGAGGATAACGATGGCATTTCTCAGCTGCTACGTAACGTAGAGACCGGATGTCTTAGTGAAAGACAGCTGAGAAAGCTAGAGAAAATGAAACAAGATGGCAAAACACCATTGTATAGGAATTGTCCAATGAGCAAACTGGAAGCCGACATCATGCTGTTAGAGTTCAAATCGACAAACGGATTGAGCGATAAAGGCTTCGATCAGTTGTTAGGTATAATAAGGAAAATGCTCCCAGAAAAAAATGAGTTGCCAGAAAAGACATACTTGGCTAAGCAAATGATCTGCCCCATCGGCATCGAGGTTGAAAAAATTCATGCGTGTTCTAATGATTGCATATTGTACCATGGAGAAAAATACAAAGACTTGGACAAGTGCCCCAAGTGTGAAGCTCCACAGTACAAGGAAGGACCATCAGATGAGGGTACCAAGAGCAGAGGAGGTCCCGTAAAGGTCGTTTGGTATTTCCCTATAGCTCCCCGGGTGCATAGGCTGTTTGTATGTGCAAAGTCAGCCAAGCTGTTGTGCTGGCATGGTGAAGAGCGTAAGAAATATACAATGATGAGGCACCCCGCCGATGGGCATGACTGGAGGACTGTCAATACTATGTTCTATAAGGACATCGGTGGAGAGGTAAGGCACCTTTGGTTTGCTTTGAGCACAGATGGGATGAATCCTTTCGACTAGGTTAGAAGCAATCATAGCACCTGGCCAGTGATGCTCTGTATATACAACCTTCCACCTTGGGTCTGTATGAAGCGGTCGTACATCCAGATGCCACTACTGATCCAAGGGCCAAGACAACCTGTGAATGACATCGATGTGTTTCTGGAACCAGTCATCGATGAACTAGTGGAGATGTTTGAAAAGGGTGTGCCGGATGTTTGGGACGAGTACAAAAAGGAACATGTCACGATCATGGGAGTACTTATCGCTACAATCACCGACCTGCCAGGTCGAGGTTCGTTGTCCGGAGAGAAGACAAAAGGCTATACTGGATGTGTCGAGTGCTTGGACGACACCGATGCGGTAAATCTGCCAAATAACTCAAAGATAGTTTATATGGGACACCGTAGGTTCCTACCTAAGGATCACCCTTACCGTAGAAACAGAAAAAAAAAATTCAACGATAATATTGAGAAACGCTTAGCTCCAAAATATCGGGACGGGCCTGCGATACTTTGAGAACTCAATAAACTAGAGGTTGTCCTTGGGAAGGGGGACAATGCAGTAGCAGCGCCTGATGGGAGCATTTGGAAGAAAAAATTGGTTTTCTGGAAACTACCTTACTGGCCATTTCTGAGTGTATGCCACTGTCTTGATCCCATGCACATCACTAAAAACGTGTGCGCTAACACTCTTAACACCTTGATGGACACCAGGGGGACATCGAAGGATTCACTAGCCACACGCCTAGACATGCAACACTTGAGAATCAGGAAGGAGTTGCATCCCGTGGAGCTAGAGAATGGCCAGTTTGAACTTCTGGTTGCGTCATGGACATTGAAGAAGGAAGAAAAGCGTGCGCTTATTTCTTTCTTTAATGAACTCAAAGTCCCGACGGGCTACTGTGTGAACCCGAAGAGGCTAGTGAACATGAGAGAACTCAAGTTCAACTATGGCCCTATGAAGGCCCATGACTGTCATGTCATTATGACTCAGCTGCTCCCTATTGCCCTGCGTGGTATCCTCCCCCCAAAGGTCTACGCCCCAATCATAAAGTTTTGCTCATTCTTCAACACGATCTCAAAAAAGGTCATTGATGTGTCCACGCTAGAGCAGCTGCAGCGGGACATAGCTGAAACTCTCGTTAGGCTTGAGATGCATTTCCCACCGACTTACTTTGATATCTCATTGCATCAGCTCATTCATCTTGTTGACCAAATTAGAGCCCTTGGCCCAATGTACCTGCATCAGATGTTCCCTTTCAAAAGATTGATGAAAGTTTTTAGGAGGTATGTTAGGAATAGATTTAGGTCAGAAGGGGGCATGGTTGAAGGATGGTCAACGCAGGAGGCCATTGAGTTCTGCACATATTATCTGGACATCAAAAGGGTCGGAGTTCCAGAATCTCATCACGAGAGAAGACTACGTGG